TGTTTCAAATATCTTCTAATAATTTTTGTGATCGTATATAACAAGATATATATATATATATATATATATATATAACAATCTTTAAAGTTAACTTGCGACTTTATAATACTATCCATTTTAGTAATAAAATCATTTTTTCTATCTTCCTGAAAATACAAATATTTCTACATTTTCTACTTCAACAGATGGCTCAATAGACCAAAATGTTTTTGCGAACAATAACTTATTGAACAAATTATAACTCAGAAAATTATCCAAGACCCTATTAGAGTCCCTCTTTCAAAGTAGATGGAAGTATTATTCAAAAATATGCATTCAATATTTTATTCTATCAAAATAGTAAATTTTATAATTTTTTCATAACAAGTTTAATTTAAACTGTATTCATGTTTGAAAGTTATTCACACATATATTTACAAGGAAAATCTGAAATACTCTCATAACATGATAAACATAGTAATTAATGCTGTGATTAATGTCAAATGCATAAGCGACTATGTACGAAAATATATAATGAAATGCAAGATACATAATTACAGATATATTTTGTAGTACAAATTTCAGTTCATTATATTATTGTTTGTGAAACTATGTATCAAATATATCTTCGTCAGATTGAATTTCAGTATCAGTTTTTGATATTGTTTTACTGGATTGCAATCTGTTTGTGGTAGTTACTTTATCCCTAAAAGTAGTAGCAGGTCTTGACTTTGTTCCTTTTGATACAACCTACAGATATATTGAAAATATATTAAATATTTCTTTATATTTAATTATGTGCAATTCTCGAATTAAGAAAAAATATATTATTTTATACTTTGTCGATTAAATACACCAATTTTATTACCTCGGACTCAGAAGTGGTTCCCGAGTCATCCAAATGCTTAATATTTCGTTTTGTTCTACTTACAGCTGGCTTTCTTTGTCGTTTTGGCGTTTTATTTACACGTTTTGATAAGGGCTATAATAGTAAAAATAATTATCATAATAACAAAAATAAGTTTAAAATGATATTGGTTAAATTATAAAATTAAGTTGAAGAGTTTCGTGTAAAAGTCTATATATGCTTTTTTTTCAGATTGCCATAATTACCTCCATTTCAGAATCATCTTCAGAGTCATCCTTGCAATTAATTTGGTTCTCTGCTTTGCTATGTAATGGGGTTGTTTTCGTAATTTTATTCGATTTTTTCGCTTTCTTAAGAATTTGTATATCGTATTCATCATCAGAATCCATATCATTTAATACTTTCTTAATATCTCTTACATTACAACGCTTTTTGTCTATTACAACACCTATAGTACTTTCTCTTGGATTTCTTATAGGATTTATAGTATCTATATGTTTCGTACGAGGACTTTTCCTGAGTCCATTCACAGGTTTTTTCATCTTTTGCGGAGTAGATTTAGAAGGATTTTGTTCAATCGAAGTACCGATGGTATTTAATCTTAATTTTCCATCTGGTTTATAACCTAATTTCTTTAAACCAGCTATTAATATTTCTTTAAATTTTTCATAAGATGGCGTTTCATTAAATTTAACGCTAGCTAATAAAGTCATAAATTTATGCACAGCCTGTGGAACTGATCCATGAAAACACTTTTTCAAGAAATCATCTATGTTTTTGAAAGCTTTTTCTTTCTCCTTTTGAACAATAACTGGATCAAGCAATTTTTCCCATGGCAGAGATCCACATAACCACAGAATTATATTGTAATATAAGATTTCAATATCACTACGCTTTGTAGGCACTGAAAGAATAAAGAATAAATTGCATTAAGTATCAGAACTGTTAATCTTTCTTGAAGTTTCTAATTCTTACCTCCCATATGAGCATCTCTACTTGCATATTGTAAAGTGCCATTATGTGCCTTTTTCGGATCCGGTTTTAATTCAGTGCTTGTTGTACAGTGAGATGCTAAACCAAAGTCGACTAAATAGATTTGATCATAGGAATTTAGATCTAGTAGTAAATTTTCACCTTTGACATCAGCATGGACATAGTTTTTGTGATGAATATATTCCAATATATCTATCTAGAAATTTATTAGAATAACACAATGTAAGTTATCAATTAGTAAAACAACATATCATAAATTGCATACAATAAATTATTTTCTTTTATAATTGTCTTACTATTTGCAAAGCCAATTTATATACTATGTGTTCTGGAAACTGTCTATTATTTTCCTCAAATATTTTCCACAAATCCTTTCCATATCGATTTATTACTAAAAACCGATATTTTGAATTTTTATATTCGTGACTTCCAGAAGCAATATATTTAGGCATTCCAAACGCAGCAAGTTTCTTGTTTCTCTGCCAATTATCAACTAAAAAAATACTGTGATATGTTTATCTTTTAAATATTTTGTTATACAACTGATAAATGTTTTTCATTATCAAAGACTGTAATTTTTAGAAAAATAAATCGCATAATGGAAAATATCAAAAGAAAAATTCTTTTGTAAATTTTAAACTTACTCTCATCTGGTTTACAGTTTCTCATATAAAAGTGCATTTCTACAAATAACGGACCATTTCCATGAGGTTCCTATAAATTCAATTTTTAAGAAATAATATGAATATATATAAAATTAAAATGAAATACAACAGGTATAATAAAGAAATAATACTAACAATTTTTATAACATTAAGATAATCTTTGAGGATTTTCCCAGAATAAGGTGCCGCTGTAATTAATATCATTGAAAAATTAACACAATACACAATAGTTAAAATATTTATCAATTTTGTAATTAATAAATAATGTCATATAAAAAAATTAAATGTAATAGAGCTAATATAATTATACAAGACAGAACCAAATACAGATCTTTGTATATTTCTCACAAATATGTATATATAACTATGCGTATAGAATTTATCATGTAAAACTTTTGCAAAAAGATGACATTTATATTGATTCTTTTTTTCTTAACTATGTTTGTCTTGAAATATTTTATTGTTTTGTTCACAATAGTGCCTATGAACGACGTAGCGTGCAACAATACAATTGTAGCAAAGAAACGGTTGCAAATGAAATAGCAAGAGAATTTCATCAAGTACCGGAGTAAACCTCTCCAAAACCGCCGACGCCGATCGATTTGCCAAGGATCCAGTGGCCCTTGTGCATATCCGTGAGAATTTCTCCGGCCGGTATCGGATCGGGCATTAGATAACCGCCTTTTTTCTTCGGTCTCTTCGCATTTTTCGCTGCCATCGTGAAATTTAATCCAGATATGCCGCGGAAAACCAAAATCTATGACGATGTAATTGCCTTTCGTAATAGATCCCGATTAAAAATTACGAAAAACGAACGTAAGAAACAATACGCTAATGAAAGAACGATATCCACTTTATACACCTGTTATCGTTTTAAAAGCACGAGCACGAGACATGAGACGGACATGCAACCACAGGCAACCGTTAGAACTTAGCAACGAAATTTAAATGATTCATGCAGCCACCCGGTCAATGCTAAAGTAACTATAAACGCGAATTCAGAGGCGACTTCTTTCCGTCTCTCTAGATTTACGTTGTCGACCATGACAAATCATTGCCTTGAAATTGGCCGAATTTGTGTGTGCGCGCGTACGGAACACGGAGCACGAAGCGTGTGTGTCATGTTGACTTTGGAAAATGTCAACCGCTTTTCGAATTTTGTTTTAAGCGCGAAATAAAAAGAAAAATCATGATTAGAGTCGAGCGACTCGTGATACGAATACGAATTTTATGAAGTGGCACGCAAACGAATAGATACGTCGGGTATTATCGTTGGTATTCGCGCTCGCCGGAAATATAGGTTACATTCGTCGTGGATTTCTTCCTTCCTTTTTTTGCATTTTATTTTTTTTTTTTTTTAATGGAAGAAACGACGTCCGATTCGCCGAAATCAAGTTCAGATGAGAATCGTATCAATGAACCAGACATCGAGACGTCCTGCAAGAATATCAATGACACGGAGCATCATAATGGAGAACATACACCGCAACAGTCCGAGAGATACATCGACAATTCTATTTTCAATACCATTTCCAAAATTGTTAATCCTGCTACGAAGGTAAGTACGTTCCTTGTTTCATTTCTAATAAGAAATAAGAGTGAGTCTTTCCGGAATCAAGAATTAATTATTTTTGAGACTTTTCAATAAGCACAATTGCAAAAAGTTATTAGAACAAAAATTGTAAGCAAAAAATGAAATTGATAAATTTTAGTTTATATATAAAATTGAAGCGTACAATTTTCTGTAATATTAATTATGCGTGATATTGTTAGAGTAGAATAAATTGATTGTATTGTATTGATTAACCATAATATAAATAACATACTTTACATTGATGTAAAATCTATTTAATTTGTCACAAACTTTTATAGAAATATAAATAACTTTGTTTAATTTATGTTATATCATTGCTTTATTTTGCTTAGGTACCAGATATACAGGATTTTAAGATAGTGAAGCCAATAAGCAGAGGAGCATTTGGTAAAGTATTTTTAGGATACAAAAAATCCAATTCTGAGCAAGTGTATGCGATTAAAGTGATGAAGAAGAATGAGATGATAAATAAGAATATGGCTTCACAAGTAGTGATTGAACGCAATGCACTGGCTCTGACTCATAGTCCATATTGCGTGCAACTCTTTTATTCGCTGCAATCTGTCAGCAGTGTCTATCTAGTCATGGAATATATGGTGGGCGGCGATCTAAAGAGTCTGATCGGTGTTTATGGCTTCTTGGAGGAGTCCATGGCAGCATTTTACACTGCAGAGGTATGCCTGGCATTGGAATATCTTCATTCGCATGGCATTGTACATAGAGATTTAAAACCGGATAATATGCTTCTCTCGCGCGAAGGACATGTCAAACTTACCGATTTTGGACTCAGTAAGATATCGTCCTTGCACAGGGATCTCGAAATATCGGATTTAGTAAATCCGATGACTCCCAGTCTATGCACTAGGACACCCGGCCAGCTGCTTTCGCTAACATCTCACCTGTCCTTCGGTTCCGGCCAGAAATCCACTAGTGAATCGAATCTCAGCGATAGAAGCACGCTAGCCATGAATTTACTTTCCACCTTGCAAAAAAATTGCACTAAGTTTGCGGGACATATGTCGCCAAACTCAGTCATTTCCTCTGTTGCATCCGGAGATTATTCTCGAATATCTGGTGTCACACCTTTTCAATCGGTAGAAGATCTACATTTCGAGCAAAGTAATGAGGAACACAATAACATGGAAGAGGACAAGAACGTCATTAAAAAGTATGAAGACGGTCCGGATAGTTCTAGCAGCTATTACACTTGTGAAGCGTCCTCTTCGGTCCCAGCAAGCAATCAAGATATGGGGGAGGAGGAGGAAAAGGATGAATCTACGCTGGAGGCAGAAAAGTCTCAGCAGCGATCTCCTGTACATGTCAGTAGTCCAGTAAGCACTTGTGTGAATTCATTCAGAGATCGAATTCGGGGTTCGAAGAGGAAGCGGCCCGGTACATGCACAACGACCGGCTTAACGTGCGAGATCGACGCGATGGATCTTGATGTCGACAAAACACCCAAGAGAAATAACCGCGACTCTATATTTCCTTATACGAGTCCTATGATCGATGACACCTCAGCATACATTAAAACAACGGACATTACCGTCGACTTGGCAAATAACGATGGGAGCAAGACACCAAATCAGGATACTGAACAGAATGCAGGGTCTGCAGGTAGAGTAGCTTTCAGTACGCCGGTGTCCTCTGCTAAACGAAGAGATTGCAATGATGAGAAACAGCAGAAGCTACAGGAAGAGGAGGAGGATGCGAGGACTTTAATAAAGACGAGATTTCGCCTACCGCCATCCGCTTCGCATTCCGTGCCCGATCTACATTCGGATCTGAACAACACATCCGAAGATCATCGTGAACCGCAAGGTATCTCGCCCATCAAGACACCTGCGACTTCGGGTAATTGTTATACGCCCTACAGAACGCCCAAATCTGTGCGAAGAGGCGGTCAAGCTGGCACCAACAGATCAGACGATCGCATACTCGGGACGCCTGATTATCTTGCTCCGGAATTACTGCTTAGACAGGGTCATGGACCGGCTGTTGACTGGTGGGCGTTAGGCGTGTGCCTATATGAATTCTGCACGGGCTTGCCGCCATTCAACGACGAAACACCGCAAGCAGTGTTCGCGAACATTCTCGCGCGCGATGTTCCCTGGCCGGAAGACGAGGAGGCTTTGTCATCGGCAGCAACTGATGCCATCGACGCGCTGCTCACCTTGGACCAAACGGCACGACCATCGGCAAAGGAAGTGCGCGCCATGGCCCTTTTTCGCGAGTTTCCCTGGAACGAGCCGTCAAAAGCGGTACCACCATTCATCCCGCAGCCGGACGATAAATACGATACGTGCTACTTTCAAGGTACGTATCTTCGATGTTACTATATCTCTTGTCGTCGTTTCAGAAATAGTACCGCGTTGATACAAGGATCAAAATTAAAATTTTTAAGGACTAAGATTTTAATTGTTAATTTCTAAATAATTTTTGTTACCGAAATGTTATTATCTAGATTAGATACATTTAAACAGTCTTATCGACATAAAGCGTTAACACACGGAGCGGAACACACTGCTGTTTAGTATCAGAAAAGTCGCTACTTTACATACAATATTTGAAGAATGAACTTTATAATTTTTTATTGAAGAAAGTATCTTAAAATTGTCCTTTTTTTATATTTACGCGGTATTATTTTGTAAAGACGTTATACATCTACTATGGCATGATGGTACTGGACTAATAAGAGAATTTCTATTTTCAGCGCGGAATACTCTGCAACAATTGAATATAAGTAATTGCGATACGTAGCCTTCTACATATTGTATGCAGACGTGGCAAGAACGGAAGCCTATAATGTGTCCAAACTGTTATTATATATAACTTTATTTTTTTTATATATTTGTATGTATAGCAATATATATATAAAAATACAAAATATTTTGTTACTATTTTTGTAATCAACGATTTTTTATTCGTTTCGTATATACTATAGTAAATGAATAATGTTTGTTTTTTTTTAATGACGAGGAAACGTACGTAATGTACGATGATATAGAATTGAAAGTTTATTCTGATTAATTAAAAAAGAAATGACATAATGTCAAATCTCTTTAAAAAGATTTTAATACCGCTATAAAGCTCTAGTTTTATATTAGGGCATGATAGCTTTTATCACATTTTTCAAAGCGAGTGGAATCGATTCTGCGTTTCCTCGACAATTTGTCTTGTCGAAAAAACCGCGACCGTGCGAAAGAGACATAGATAAATACGTATAACACGCGTGTGTTTTCTATTTTAGGTTTTTATAAATCCATGGCAAAAAGTGTGTGACCCTTGTATAGACCCCAGGATATTGACCTTTTCCGCAACCTATTCCCCAACTGACAATTCCAACTTGAGTCCAGCGTCCGTCATTAACCATTAAAGGACCACCACTGTCACCCTGTAAGTACAAAGTCATTAATTTTTACAATATAAAATTTGCAATATAATTATCAGTATTCTTATATTCCGCATCTATCGTAAAATGAGGCCGTTTAATCGTAAATATATATTTTTTTAAATGTTTTTGTAAAATTAATAATATATAT